CCGTGAGCAAAACACTTACTCCTCGTCCAATTTTAACCTGGACACACTCAGTGTTCAATTTATCCAAGTTTCAAATCAATATCTCGTTACGAAATATCCAACCAAATTTTATTCAAATTGAACTCAATAATTTTATAAATTTTTATGTCATGTGATGATTTCAACTGAAAATTTACTCATCTTTCGAATGAATGAATCTGAAAAATTGTCGTTAACAATAAACAAAGCGTTCTCGATAATCTGCACAAACTCAAGCCACGAAATCAATTGTAAATATCAGATATCTCTCTTGAAGTATCAAAACTCAATTCAATAAGTGAAATAAAATAAATATTGTTAATAATCGGAGTAAGCTTGATTTTTAGCTCGGGAGTGTCACCCTGTCTGTACAAAACAGAGTCCTTAGGAAACATTTATGAACTGTGACATATCCGGAAATAATATACTAAACTGCGTCTTTGATTAACTTCTCCATCCCAAACGGAGGAAGTTATTGGAATTATTGTAACTGAAAATCAAATGCAGAATTTTCATTTGTCGACGATTCATAACTCCTAGAATCACCTGTTACGTTTTTGAAGATGTTTGTGTGTGTATGTATGTATGTGGTCAAAATTTTCTCCGATATCATTTGAACAAATGAAGCGATTCGAATAAGATTATTTCTATCGACATGTCTTCATGTAACTTACTATCCTTTTCAAAAGTATAGTCCATAACCTTGGGAGGCTTGCATCTTTGCGAAAAAAAATCGCACGACTGTGGAGCAATTTCATTCGCAAGATTGAATATTACTCTGTTAGAAAATTACTCTTTAAACTTCAAGTGAAAATGTTTGAAATTTTTAACAACGACAAAGTTATACGAAATTTCTGTATATTTCTTCATTGACGAATCAGTTAATTTTGTGAATATTCAAGTAATTCTCGATTTTCAGGTCCATATGGCACTGAAAAACTTTGAAAATGTTGACAATTCAGGCGATAACTTTTCTGGATTCTCAATCTATTGAAAATTGAATTGCATGTGATGTTCAATTTTCACAATGAGTTTGAAAATTCAAGCTTTCATTGAAAAATCAATGATTGCTTAACGCTCGTGAACTGGCGCTCGCCCGCCGACCGAGATAACTGGCTCGGTTAGTCATTTGTGAAAACAGAAGTTTGAAAAAAAAAAATTAATTTTAGGTTTAGAGGCAGGTTTCAATTTCTGATGAATAGAAAATGGTAATAGTACCATTGGTTCTAACCAATGGTAATAGAACCATTCAACTTCAGCTCAACCCAAACCAATTTTTTTTATCGTTATTTTACATCGCTTCGACCCGGTTTGGGTATACTGCGATGATGATCAAGACTTTAAAATGGTTAAATCGCACTATTCTACCCGACCAGGATTTGAACTCGGAACCTTTTGCATGTGAGGCAACGAACTTATCCACTGCGCCAAGCCACCGGGCCCCGTACCCAATTTCATGACAAAATACAATTTCATGACAATTTTTCTTGAATTTTCATCTTGAAAATTCAAGAAAATTGGGTTTTTCATGTTAACTTTCCTGAACTGGCTCAATGAGCACCGCGCCGCCCGTTTTCGAATGTTTCTTTTTTCAATGAAATGAGAGTCAATAAACATCTGAAAAAATTACAATGGCTACTTTTGACTACATTGAATTTATTGGCAATTTTTATTGCATTCATACTCGCGTCGATAGAGTACCAAACAAGTACCAAACATAGAACCATTGGTTCCAACCAATGGTAATAGAGAGTTAACATGAAAAACCCAATTTTCTTGAATTTTCAAGATGAATGAAAAATTTAGAGAAATTTAAAAATTGAATTCAACTTCACAACATCAACAATTCAAATAATGCTGTGACTGAAGTTGCAAAAAATTTCTAACAGTGTAGTTATAAATTAATACTACTTATAATTTTTTCGACGGGTCTATTGTTATGAATATTTACGCAAAAGTATCATATATTCCATTGTCCGTAAATTGCAATTTTCCCCATTTGAAGTGGTTATATTTCTATCGGAGATAGCCGCATGAAATATGTTTATTAAAAAAACCAATAGTTGTTCAAAAAAATTGCATTTTTGTTTAACCTTTCCATTCTTGAACAGGTTGTGCAAGCCATAAAAAAAAAATTGGGATAATTTTTGAAACAAAAATCGACGTTCTGAGATCTGGTCAAAGTTCATTAATTTTCACGGCACATGAAAAACATGGGCTTTTTCATCTTCCCATCGTAATAATGCAGAAACTGTCCGATAAAAAAAATGAAACTGCCTGTTGTAGTAGAGTAATATTCAATCTAACGAATGAAATTGGCTCCACAGTTCGGGCGATTTTTTTTGTGAGGATACAATCCTACAAAGTTTGTGTTCGTTTGAAAAGGATAGTATAGAACTCATTAGTTTCTAAAGACGATCGCCTCACCGGTTGTATAGTTATTTATATAAAACTTGTGAAAAAAGCCAAAAAACATCAATTTCCTTAACATTCGAGTATTTTACCTGAGATAACGATGGGATATGAATAAATGTTGTATAATCGATGCGTCTTAACATAACTCGATTTCAATTAGTTGTTGAGCTGAATCATCTCAGCGGTTGTTCATTTATTTGGATAAAACTTTCAAAATTTGCGTTTTTTTTTTTAATCAATAGATAAAAGGGAATCGGTCGGGAAGTTATGGGTTCGACCCATAATGTATCTCACCCAATTCCACCAACCCCTACCGGTCACACCCCAGCCCGGGAGCGAGCGACCAACGCTGATTTTTTTTATTCTGATCACCCAGTCTGTACAAAACAGAGTCCTTATGAATCATTCGTTAACTCTTATACATGACGAGATCACAATTTTTGAATGTCAGTAAATTTATGGGAGACAGTAGATTGTCCATTCAGATATTTTTTGCGGTGAAAAAAAAAATTAAATTAAAAAGTTCTGCATGAAAATGACGGTATGTCCACTAGGGTCACAATCAGAGATATTTACGAAAAGCTCCCTCTGAAATTGAATTGACTTATTTCGTTTCACCACTTCACCGTTGAAAATAAACATAAATATTTATTCACTTTTCAGATATTGCTGGCTATTGGTGGTTGGGCATTCGGTTCTACTCCATTCAAAGAACTCACTAGCAACACATTCCGTATGAATCAGTTCGTTTACGAGGCCATTGAGTTCCTCAGGGAGTATAAATTCAACGGTCTCGATGTAGACTGGGAATATCCGAGGTAATATGTCACGTGCAGTTGTCGATTAATCCCATTAATCCTTGATGTTTCCGGCGCTCAACTCCGAAACATTCAACGTAACAGAATTGAAATGTTATTTGTATAACGTGCGATGCATATAATATATGTTAAAAGGGGTGCTGATGACAGAGCGGCTTATGTGAATTTACTGAAGGAGCTTAGATTGGCATTCGAGGGAGAGGCTAAGGACTCGGGTCAGCCTAAACTAATCCTTTCTGCTGCCGTACCAGCGAGTTTCGAAGCCATCGCCGCTGGGTAAAATAATCTTCTTTCACTCAAACAATCTAAATAGATTAAACTTCAAAATTGCCTTAGTCTAAGGGCACCCTCAACAACTTTGAAACATTCTTTGATGGGTTACTTATCGAATTTCAAATACTCTGGAACAATTTCCGTCTCACTCTCCTCGTTTTTATTCAAGTTTTTTTTCAGGAAATAAAACAAGAAGTCGTACAGTGTTTACTTTTCATTCTCATCAATCGATTTATTCATACTTTATTTGTTCATTTCCTTTCTTACTTTTTTTTTTTTTTACTAAAAACAGGTATGACGTTCCCGAAGTTGCCAAGTATCTGGACTTCATAAATATAATGACTTATGACTTTCATGGACAATGGGAACGTCAAGTCGGTCACAACAGTCCGCTGTACCCTCTGGAAAGTGCCACAAGTTACCAGAAGAAGCTCACAGTGGTAAGAAAAGAACGTAAAGAATAGAACAAAAAGACAGTACGGGATATGAAAAGAAAGAAAAGAAGAAAAAAATGTTGGGAATAAAAAATGAAAAACTTCTTCCTTGCTAACTCCTTATTCCATAGTGTCTCACATTTTCTTTTGTACATCCATTCGATGGTTCATCCCCCCCGTCTCTCACCTTCCTACAGCTACTATCTCATTTCCCGTTAAACTTGACTTTTTTACGTCTTTCTTTACACTTCTTTTTATTGGACTAAAAAATAGACATTTGCGTTGATGTACTTATCGTAATAACTTTTTTCTTCTTTTATTATTTTCGTCGAATAGGATTTCAGCGCTCGTGAGTGGGTCAAGCAGGGAGCGCCCAAGGAAAAGCTAATGATCGGAATGCCTACGTATGGAAGATCATTCACGCTCGTTGATAAAGATAAGTTTGATATTGGCGCACCGGCATCAGGCGGTGGTACACCTGGAAATTTCACAAATGAATCCGGCTTTCTCTCTTACTACGAGGTAATTAAATGTACATTCGTTCGAGAACGATTTCAGGACTATTCAACACAACCATTTCAACACTGGAAAACATTTCTTATGATTTTGGGCCCTGCTGATGTTCGGCAGCCTCAGTAATATTGTTAGACGGTTCTGATATCATTGCTGTGATTTACACAAACAATGCGTCTTCCTTTTTAATCTTCTTTACAGCAAAAACCAAATTAATACATTATCAAATATGAGCAGGTCCACGTCAAATCAGCAGGCCGTAAATGTCGATGCTGGGGATTTTCGTCTCAATTTGTTTCTGAAAAGATGGCTATTAGATAAAAGTTTTGACAAAAAAAAGTTAACAAATATTGGTAATTAAGGAAGTTGTGGTTTTTTTAAGTTTTCAGTTTTTTTCAATGATTTTTGTTTGTCCCAAATTGGACCCAATATTTCAACATGAAAAACCCTTCAAAACGAGACGTCATACATAGCATTATCTTCAGTTTGAAGACGTTTATAAGAAAAAATGTTTTTTTTTCGATCGTCAATTACTCCAAAACCAATTTTTTTTTATCTGAAATTTTCGGTTGTAACACCCCGAGACCTTAAAAATTATCGGATATTTCCCGATAGCTCCGTTGCATAGCAACGAGAGGAATGTGTTTTGCAAGATAAAAATTACGAGCGTGAAGCGCGCATGATTTTTCTGCAAAACTCATCTCGATCGCTGATACGCAGGGAAACTTGTGGGAAATATGCGATGAATTTTGACGGTCGGCGGGTATTCGGAGGATTATTTCCCCCATCACCCTTCCGAACAATAGAATTGTGGTGTTCGACGTCTCGTGGACCAATCACAAGAGAATTATATCTATAATTTCCCGTCGTTCGGTAATTTTCCCGTTGGCAAGCAGAATAACAAATAATTGTTGATTGTATTTTCCTCTGCGTTCTGGTTGGGCGAATTGAGGAGGGAGGAAATTCTCACCAAAACTTGTTAATAAAATGACAGGAATTTTGGCGCCAATTAGAGTTTGTCTTTCGCCGTAGTTCCGTAGTTCGGCGGTTATTAATTTTCTCTGTGAGACTAGTATTGAAAACGACCGAGAATCGCTATTGTTGGTGTAATTATCTCCCAAATAAGTGAATATTCAATTTAAATATGAGTAAATGGTGGATGTTAGACTCGTTATATCTTTCACTATTCATCTTCAGTATTATTTTTTGAGTGAAAAACTATTATTTCATTAATTGGACAATGAAAGCAGATGAATAGTAGAGGAAAACAAAATTTCGAGAAAATTTATTATTTTCTTTTGAAATTTCCATACTTCTTCATCAAACAGCCAATATACAGGGTGTCCCAAAATGAAATGTCATCCTCGCGAGGGCAGTTCGGGGTGCTCATTTGAAGGCGAAAACTAACTACATTTTTCTCTCCGACGCTTGACCGAAAAAGCCAAGGTTAGCCGCAAAACCCCCTGCAGTAACAAATCCGTATCTTCTCTGTCACTTGAGATGGAGAAATAGAAAAGACGGCAATCGATTGAGTGAATTTTGTTCTTCTATTGCCAAAACGGGGTGAGAAAAACTGCGACAAAATTCACCATGACGTAAGAGCCATTTGTATCCAACACGCGATGTTGTCCTGAAAATCAAAGTTCACGTAAAAAATTCATATCTTCTCTCTCATTCGATATCAAGGGATGGGATTGATGGGCATCGAAGGGACATCTAATACATCCGCTCGACCGCATTGAATGGAGAAGATGATATGAATTCTCTAACAGGGAAAAACATTTGATTGGTAGTCCGTTTTTATTTGATAACTCTTAAACAAAGCGTCGGAGAGTGAAATGTTATTAAAGTTTTCGTCTCCAAATGAGCCCCCCTAACTACCCCCACGAGGATGACATTTCATTTTGGGACATCCTGTATAATACACAATGGTAGACACTCAATGTCCACCAGCATTCGGCATTACCAAGAGTTCCCGACGGAAACGTACCTGGTTAAACCCCAAAAAGCCCCCATATTTGTTCGAAAATGAATAATTGTAATTTTTTTGTTGAGCTTGCCATGCGTTGATTAGTCATGTAATCATCGAATCAATGAAACAAAACGTATATTACAAGAGTTCGTTGCCATTTTACTTTCGTAACAATTTACATGAAATTATGTTGAGCTATAATTTTCAATAAAATATGAAATAATTCGTTCTTTCGTAGGTCTGCAGTTTTCTCAATGAGGACAACACGACCCTGGTTTGGGATAGCGAACAACAAGTCCCTTTCGCATACAGGGACGACCAGTGGGTTGGTTTCGACGACGAGAGAAGTCTCGTTAATAAGGTAATTACATACACTCACACACACTCAAAATTCACCTAAACGAAAACCAGAACGAGAAGTGGGAAAAAAAAAGAAATTCAGTGAATCCTGTTGAAGTTGCTCCTCAACGGTTGCCATTTGAAAGTTCTGGAAAATTAATGAACTAATAATTCCATTCCACATTAGTCATTCGCATTAATGAATATCACATAGCTCACAAAATTTACATGGCTCACGTGCACACATTCCCTGTAACGATTGGGCTTGGATTAACATAATTATTCATCCAAATGATATGTTCCATTATTGAGCATTCTAGCCGTTCCTAAACAATGTTTACAATACTCTTTATTGAATTATTCAACATCATTCGTTCTACTTGAAACCAAAAATCACCGAAAAATTTAACCCAAAAAACAGATGAACTGGCTGAAGGAAGAGGGCTTCGGTGGTATTATGATCTGGTCAGTGGATATGGACGATTTCAAGGGCACCTGCGGTGCAGGCAAATATCCCCTCATAAAAGCAATGAAGAAAGAACTACTCGACTACTCAGTTAAACTCGAATACGATGGACCATATGAGACTGGATTACGAAGTGGAAAGTACACCACCAAAGACCGTGAGTATAAAAATTTTATCCACAAGGTTTTTCGGTAGCCATTGTAGACATGAAACATTGTGGGGGTAAAAAAAAGGAAAGCGAGAGGAAAAAATATCCAGAAAGGAAAAGTAAACTGGTTATTCCCCTGTGATTCTTGTGCTTTTAGCTAACGAGGTTACCTGCGACGAGGAGGACAATCACATATCGTATCATCCGGATAAAAACGACTGTACAATGTACTACATGTGTGAGGGCGAGCGAAAACATCATATGCCATGTCCCGTTAATCTCGTATTCAATCCGAATGAAAATGTCTGTGACTGGCCTGAAAATGTCGAGGGCTGTCTTCAGCACACGCAGGCACCACCCGTTTAATTAAGGAAGAAATGAAAATATCCTTAAATAAGGCGAAAAAGTTATACATTTATACATAAAACTAATTTGTCTCGTGGCACGGCGACTCACGACGCTCTAACAAAACATAACAAAGCATTGTTTGTATAAAGAAGCCGGCAAGAGAGACAAATAGAGGGGGGATAAAAAATATGTTAAAACGAGTGTCACTATGTAAATTTCTCACAATGTTCGCGTCGACGACACTATTATCACTTTTTGTCATTCTTTCAATTCTTTTTTGTTCCTTCTGGTTTTCTCTCACTGCTCTCATCGTTTTTCGCCTTTTAAACTATCTAATTTCTACTTTTTATCTCACTCTTTTCTGCTTTCACTGTTTTCCTCTTTCTCATGCACAACTGTTTTCTGTCTACCCCCCTTCCAATCCAACACACTTTCATTTTAAAATTCGTTGAAAAATGGATTCACTGGTGTCAGCTAGGTACAGTCGATGATGAATTTAATAAAAAGTAGAATGAAAAATAGGCAGGATTTTGTCGAACGGGGATAGTGACCCGAGCTGAGAGCTGATGCTTGGCATGCGGTGTGCGGTGTCCCAAGAGTGAGTAAAACTCGGTCAGATGAGTAAGACGGTGTAGTTTCAGTGCAGACTGCTCTACCAGCAATGTTTCTCAACTGTCGGGCATCCGACTGTGATGCTGTATGAATCTGACGGGATTCACGTAACCATCTACGTAGCCATAGGCTCAACCAGGCTATTTCACAGTCACACTCGAGGGGATTACCCGAAACTTGTAGACCACCTGGGGGAGATTTTTTAATTACAAAAACCCAAAACAAGCAGTCAGTGGTATTTGGGTAAACCTATCTTTTTCCATTACTAATGTCTACTTCTCTCAGTGTATCAAAGCTCTGGATAATCACGTAAAAATTGTTAATTTATTCGAATGCAAAGTGCATAATGCAGACGAATTTTACTGGAGTTATCATTTGTTCTGTTCTTTAAAAGTGTCAAAGGCAATGAGAATTCGAGATGACTAGATCAAACGAATGGGTGAAATCATCATCAGTTATTTGTTATAGAAATTATGTAAATTGCTCTATTCTAAGTAAATTCTACAAAAATGAAGTTAAAAAACGTTAAATAAAATATTGTACAGTAGAAAGTAGAAAGTTGCGATTTTTCACTGATTTTGAATTTCAAAATGGTCCTCCACGTATACGATACTATTGGAAAGTTGTGTTTCATTTCCTAAAAAATCCAGTGTAACGTTTTTTGGAGCCATTTATTCGGCGTATTGTGTCATTGGATTTTTTATAAATGATGATAACATACATAATATATTGTTTAATGTATTATATATATACGTTATAATACAGTACATATATGATGGTATATGGAATATAGCACAGTTCGTTATTTAATTTTTTTTTCTTATCTACATTACATTATATGTATTATATTTTAAAATACATATAGTACTCTATTATATATAGTATATCATACATAGTATATATAGTATAGTATAGAATATAATATAATATAGTATTATCGTGATATCTTCAATGTATACTATTATCATTTACAAAAAATCTAATGATACAATACGCCGACTAGATTGCCTTCAAAAAACGTTACACTGGATGTATTATACAGGGTGTCCCAAGATGATTTGTACGGCTAAATAAGTAGCTAAAAAGTAGTTAAATGCGAAAATGATTCTGACTGAATCTTGGGAAAAGAATGATTAGTGGGGAAAAATAATAAGAAGAATATTTTGCGCATAAGCGTTTATGTTTCTATGCTACAAGTATAAGTTTATTTTTTTTAAGGAGACCAACAAGTTTCGTCTTACAAAAGTTGTTGTACTTGGTGAGATGAATACAATGGTATCACACATGAAGTATTTTTTTATGTTTTTGGGCTAATATTACAAAAAACTGAGTAAGTTGTACTATGATCTATCAAATCGCGCACTAATCGGTCCATTTTTATTTGAAAGTCCGCCTAAGTAACCAAAGATGAATAAGTTTAGAATGTTTTTGTCAACAAAGGATTATTGTTGTTGTGGTTGTGAAGTGATGAGCCTAATCTCAGATAGCATAAATTCATCAGTATTATTCAGTAGAGTGAGTGTGTGATCATGCATTATTTGGGGATTGAAATCAGACATTGTACTCATTTTGGGTGAATGTCGAAAAAATTATCGAGCTGCAGCTCGAGTTTATCGGCAGTTTTATCTAAATCGACAGCATTACCCATCTGCATCTGGTATTCGTTACATCGAAATGAGTTGTTGGCGTGACAGAATCGTCACAACTGACAACAAATTTTGTAATGGTTCACACACACACACGCGCGTGTGCGCACGTGAACAGAAATGTTAATTTGGACTTTCGTTTCATTATTCGTGATTTTTTGTAATATTAGTCCAAAAACAAAAAAATACTTCATGTATGATACTATTGTATTCGTTTCACCGAGTACATCTTTTGTAAGATGAAAATTGTTGGTTCCATTAAAAAAAAATGAACTTATTCTTGTAGCATAGAAACATACATACTTATGCTCAAAATATACTTCTCATTATTTTTCCCCCTTGAAGCCCTGTAACTTTGGTCTGAAAATTTTTCGCGTTTAACTACTTTTTAGCTAGTTATTTAGCCATACAAATCATCTTGGGACATCTTGTATATGAAAAAATATTATACATTTCTGAAACTTTTCCTTCGGAAAACTTGATATTAATTTCAGAAATCTAATATAACACTATTCACTACGATTAACATACATTAAGCCCAATGGAGTAGGACTGATCTAGTTTGTATAAAAAAAAGTTACTCACCAGCAACAAGATTCGTTCCAACAGTTTCCCACGATAGATTTCCGTAGATAACCGATGGACTCAATTCATTAATATGATTGTCTCGAAGGTCGAGTGTCAATTGTGACATTCTCCTCGCTAGTGATAAGAAAATATCCGACTGAAAGCGTCGGACATGAGTGCCCTTGATCCTAAGTACAAGCTCACCACCTTCAATAGTTGAGAATGCTTCAGGCGATATTGCCTCAAGCTCTTGACCCGTTATTGTGAGCTCCCTGAGGCGTCGAGTGAATGCATTGTGAATTTGATTCTTCAGTATGGGCTCAGTGACCTCTATCTCAACAGTACGTAGATGCAATCCACTGAGGAGTATACGTAGGTCAAGGCCATCAGCATGTGGCCATGTTTGGATTCTCAAGTGTTTGAGATAGCGTAGAACACGAAGGCAATCATTGTTCACCCACTTTATTCGACTGAGTTTACGCAGTACGAGCTTTTCAATACGTCGATAACCACTGAAACTATCCTTGTTCAGCTCCTGAAAAGGTAATTGATGCATATTTAATTCTTTATTGCTTGGTGTGCTTAGTTACTCAATGAAGGAACACTTGGGTAAACGATCAACTCAAACAAATCTCCGGGCGGATCATTGATTCATGAAATTGGAAAGTTTGAACAAGCGTTTAATTCTACGTTATGCGTCTTCAGTCTTCATACTTTGTGGAAAGGTAAACTTTTTATCAGTTATGATGCAAATCTTTGGACATTCATCTGGGTCTGGTAAATTTCTTTTGTAGAATATTCTCGGCTGCATCTGATTCACGTGAATGATAAGAATAATTGAGACGTATGATAATTCAAGATTGGAGAACATTTTGTAATTCGGTTCTTGACATGAGTTATCAGTGTAATTTGAATGACAATTGAACGACGAATGAACTTTCATCCCAAGAGTGTTCGGTCACTGAGTGGATTCCCGGGGGAATAAATATCTCGGTTAGGCTCGGTAATCGAAAAAATCACCTCGACGGGATTCCCAGATAAATCCAACTCCCGTAGAAGAGTCAGCCTGACGTCCGGAACTGCGATTAAGGAATTGTTGACCAGGTGGAGGACTTTGAGTGACTCGAAGTACTGTACATTGAGCGGTGTCACGGCCTCTATACTGTTGAAGGAGAGGTCAAGTACATTGAGATTTGCCAGTGGAAGTACAGGTATTTTCCTAAATCCACAGTTTGTCATGTATAGATGCCTCAACGCTGGTAGATAGTGAAACAACTCCTTGAAATTAGCTTGAAGGTGATTTGCGGATAAGTTTAAACTCAGTAACTTGGATAGTGATACAAATGAATTATCCGGAAGTATCGTAAGTCGATTACTGGCAAGGTTGAGGGAGTTTAGTTGAGATGTGGGGAATGTTGTGGCATCAAGATGCTCAACAAAGTTTTCACCAAGGTTGAGGTCACGAAGGGTATATCCGATCTCGAGAAATGCCTGTGATGGTATTATGTTTATTCTATTACCACTTAGATCGAGTGATTCAACTCGAGTTCCCTCGAATATGTCACGGGGTAGTGAGCGTATGCGATTGTTCGAGAGATTGAGAATACGCAGATTTTTTAGATTACGAAATTGTCCGGTTGATAATTGAGATAAAATGTTGCCACTCAAATCGAGTATTTGGAGCGATGGGGCTCCGTGAAAGGCCTGTTTTCTCAAGGTTTCCAGACGATTGTCTCGTAAATTCAATGTTTCCAGGTGTAATAGGGCGAAAGTACCTGGAATAAGAGAAACGATCGAGGTCAGTTGGGTGGTGGGACTATCGATGATCGGAAGCACAGAGGAATTGTTTTCTGGAAGTGTAGAGAATGCTTTGAAGGATTTCCAAGTACTTCGACAATTCGTTCATCCTTTCGAACATTCGTAATTGAATTTCATACTTGGTTAACGCGCGTTTAGTCATGAGTTTATTATTCAAACTTTCAAAGTGACAGGCATTCAGAAAACAATTGACATAATTTTTTCCCTAAAAATTAAGGTGGCTCAATAGTTTTGAAAGTGTAAAGAAATTTCAATACCGTTTGGAATTGATAAAAGACATAAGGAGATTTTATCATCATAATTTTATGCGTCATAATTTTATTTTTTTTCAACAACAAATGTGCAAAAGTAAGGTTTCAATACAGCGTTTTATAAAAAAATTGATAACTTGGGAAGTCTTAATTGTAAAAAAGATAAAATTTCATATTTTCATTATTGAACAAAGAAAATGATTGACTACTGTTAAAGCAAGTTCCATTATTTGTTCAGGAGGAGAAACTGTTGAAGAAATACTAATGCTTCACAATACTGAATAGTGAATGAAAATGAATTTTCCAGATTTTTCTATCCCAATTTAGCTAGAAAATATTAGAATTACGAAAACCCATAACTATGATGTACTCTTTACTAAATTAGTTGAAGACATTCTCAATGCTCCCAAAGATCAACTTCATCGCTGAAGAAATTTAATTATAAGGAGGAAATTAAACAAAAATATATGTTGTTTAATGTAACTTGAAGATAATTATACATCCGTTTTTGCCATGCGATTTAATACTTTCACGGACAAAAAAATTTAATAGAAAAACCTACCGAATTCGTTAGAAAATTTTATTGAATTTCCATTGAACTTTTCTATTAGTTTTTGGCCGATTCTATTGAAATGTTCCATAGAAAATATTCAGTAGAAAAAGTCAATAGAATTCAATTTTTCTATATAACTTATTCTATTGAGATATTTTCTATAGAAATTCCTCGGCTCAAATTTTCCAAGTTTTTTCATTTGATTTTCTTGATGAGAAGAAAAGAAAAATAGAATGAAAAAAACTTAGAAAATTTGAGTCGAGCAAATTCTATAGAAAATATATGAAAAGAATAAGTTATATAGAAAAATCGAATTCTGTTGACTTTTTCTATTGAATGTTTTCTATTGAACATGTCAATAGAATCAGTCAAAAACTAATAGAAAGTTTAATGGAAATTCAATAGAATTTTCTAACGAATTCGATAGGTTCTTCTATAAATTTTTTTTGTCATTTCGGCCGTAAGGCAGCGTTTCACGGCGTTTCGCGGCGAAATATACTAAAATTGGGTGGTGCCAGATGGTATGACCGTTGTGGTCCTTTACCTACCCGTCCCAGTACCTACGCGGTATCCCAGCCTAACCCGGTATCCCAGACTACCCGCACTTGCCTCTAAGCTAACTTATATCTAACTCCACATAACTAACTCCACATGCACTGGGTTCGTTTTCCGGCGATGAAAAAATCTTTCATCACCGGGACTCGAACCTGCGCTACTGGGACGCTTTGGTTTATAGGGCCAGCACGCTGACGACGAGCCCAAAGACGTCCTCGGCGAAATATACTATTTCGTGCATGTTCTGTTGGAGAATTATTGTTAAAATGTCAAATAAATAATTTTGAAATTAGCGATGGTGGAAGTCATACGGATAGTTTGCGTCTCCAGCGGTCGTCCAAACTAAGCAGCGTTTAGTCTGATCAGTACTTGGATGGGTGTCCGCTTAGCTCTACTTCTCCGCATGGAACTGTTGGCGCTAGGCACCAATGTGGAGACCTACTATGCCCATTTGTCACAACAGGACTCTCATGCAATATCGGTCGATTGTACGACTGAGATCTTCCATGGCAGGGATCGGCATCAATAATTATTAAGATTAGTTATTGTTAACAATGGATCTGGTTGGTATTCTTTAAGAGTTAACTAATGCATGTTTGAGGAGCCTTGTTTGACTCAACTTTGACCTTTCAAGTGAATCATTCGTAAACTATTAATAAATATTGATTTGGTCCTATTCAACTCTACCATTTGTTAACAGTTAACGAATTTCGTGTGGAATAAATGAATCATTCTATAAGAGAAGTTGCACCTTAAAATAATTTAGGTTTATTTTTCTTTTCATTGAAATTTGAAAAATAAAAAAATAAATGATAATCTTAATTTTCAATAGACTACTGACTAAATAATTCGGAATTTGAATATTTAATTGATGATTAATTTAGCAATTTAAAAATTGTTGGGTAATATTAACCAATTGACTAATTAAAAATTTAACTTCATTTAAAATTTATGATTATGCCGATGTCTGCTCCATGGTGTCCCTGATGGCAGTCTTCGTCCGAATGGGGTGCATTCGGGTAAACGCTAATAAAGAAGTAAATGGGGAAAATGAGAACAGAAGAATAAAAAAGGCATATCAAGGCCGACGAAGTGAAGGGCCTATAAAACTGAAACCGTCGTAGGAATGAAATGTGAATAAAAAATGATTACAATATTGAAATTTTAGATCCATTCAACAATGAAAATTATTAGGAAATGTAAAACTTTCGACAACTTTTGTTCTACATTTCAATATATTGAAAAGGGCAAAACTTGCAAAACTTCAGACAACTACTGTTCTAGATTTCAATGTATTGAAAATTGAATTGAATGTGATTTTAAATTTTGACGATGAGTTTGAAAATTTAAGCTGTTATTGAAGTGTCAATGATTGCTCAGTTCTACCAAATTCCGGCTGTTTCGACGCCGGGATGAGACTGACATCACTTGAAAGATTTCTGCATGCTGACGATTTGAAATCCGCAGGCCAAATTTCATAATATTACCTAGTTTCTGAGAACAAAAATGTTAAAGTCCTCAAAATGGCACAAAATCGCCTTTTTTAACATTTAATTAAAAAATAACGCCTGTGTTGATTCTATTAGTTCTAGATAGTTAGTTATAGATGGGATAGAGTAGTTTTAATCAAAAGCATGAAATCATTCATAATAAATTGCGCTTTTTTTCAGTAAAATTGTATTTATTTTTCGAGAATGAGTCAAATCTTTGGCCGAAAGAATTATGGAGGTACTGTAACAAGAATAAATCGATCGGGCGTGCGTTGATTGGAGAGCAGCTAAACTCTCCATTCCGAGATACATATTTACTGATTTATTATATTTTGAGATACTAAAGAATTGATAAAAATGGGCGTTTTATTCATAAAGACACTCTACCAAATTCGGCAATTTATACTCGATACTATGTTTCCGAAAACTTGGTGAATAGAAATATTTCATGCATTTCTTATATATCTCATGCAAAACATGTAATTAATTTCGAAACATATTCTCTCTCAGTATGCAAAGTCGCCTGAAACATTTTAACCCTTAAATCCCGTGGTGGAAATTCCACGTGGCAATGCAACTTCCGACCGTTGCCGCCATGATATTCTTTCTAAAAATAATGCAATTTTACTGAAAAAACAAGTGGGAAATTGCCGATGTATAGCATATAGTATACCTTTTTTTGCTAATAAATTAGCAATATGCTTCCGAATGTTCATGTTGTATTTTTTTTTCTTCCGTATATGATTTATATTTTACTTTATTTAATTAAATTGAATAATTTTTTTTTCAATTAATTGTGTCAAATTTTCTCTTCAGTTGAATTTTATAATTATTATAATTCTTATTTTTCTTATAGAACTTTTTATTTATTCATTTATTTTTTTCATTATTCTTTCATAAATCCAACACATTACAGAACTTGGCTGTTTAGCTATATATACAAAACTGCGTGCGCCGTGGTGCTTTTTACATGGCCCAATAACCTTCCTGGATGAATTTGATCCAACAATTACTTCAAAATTACTGACGACAATGATTACGAAGAAGATGAGAATGGAATATTAATACTAGCAACGTCATTATTTAAAGTCTACACCTGTTCTCTTTTGTAATTTCTGTCTGGGTTTTCTGGAGAGGACATGAGTTATGGGCCCCAGATAACTAAAATATCAGTTTTTTCAAAAAAGATATTTTAGTTGCTCATAATAGGTTTGCATGAATCCTTAAAATTATTAAATAAATAGATTAACCTTAAATGAATTTGAACGTTTTTCTTTCATTCAAATAATCAACGAAAGTGTATTTTCCACAATCATGGAAAGGCAACAAACTTTTGAATACCATAAGCGATTCCTGAAATTCTTGTATAAATCAAATGAAAGAATGATACTATTTATATCATAACAAAATTTCAACAGAATATCATTGAAAAAAATGTATTTATTCATAATTGATTGAGTTTGAAACATCACATTTGAAGAAACCATGAAGAAGCTAATTTTCGGGGAAACTTAGTTTTGAGGCTTTCGCGGGCATTATTAATGACTTGGTTGGCTTCCGGATGGATGCCGCGTTGAGTTTCAGCATTGCGCCGACGTTTCGCAAACATTGCAGTCTGCATCTTCAGGGCTATGAGCTCCGATTCTGAGCTCCGATGTGTGGGGGCAGTCCTTATATACCTTCCCTTGTGGTGGTGGGGGAAGGGGAAGGGGGGGGGGTCAGCCAATCATATGTTTTTAATTGATCAGCTGGTCAGAGAGCTAAACTCTCTTGTCTGAGCCTCAGTCTCGAACCTTGAACCTCTACCATAAAATAAAAATAAATTTGAATTTTTTTAAAAATGAAATTCAAATATATATATATATATATATATATATATATATATNTATATATATATATATATATATATATATATATATTAAGTTCAAAATTAAAAAATTCGAATCTTAATCGATAAGGGTCAAAATTCAGGCGACGGGATATAGAGAGGGGTCGCAGCGACGGAGGAGGGGCTAGTGGGGCTAGAAGGGAGAGGGGCGATTGAAATTTTTCTTTGGAAAGAGGGGGGGGGGGTCATAGGGGGGTTATTTTGGTTTCATAGAGAATCC